CACAATATATATATATATATATATATATATATATATATATATATATATATATTGCGACGACTTTTCTTATCGATACCCGCGGACAGTCACCTGTCCGCCTTGTCGGCAAATTACCGCGGTCCCCGGATCTCGAAACGAACTCACCAACGTAAGTTAGGCGCCAGGTGCGGTAAGGCCGCACCTCCTCACTAATTAATATTCCCCAAAATCTTCAATTATAGTTCGTCTTCAATATCGCGGGAACTTAACGGGACCGGTAGCTCTTTGGAAATTTTAGTCGGAGTAGGGATGGGTTTATTCGTTGCGGGTGGAACTCCGAGGAAAAAGGCAATCGTATTTTCGGTATTAATCTTTATTCGCTCGTTACATGCACTTTCAGCGCGCTATTCGATAACTCGTCCGCGTCAAGACGTTCGCTCATTATCCTGGTCCCGATTCGGAGCTCTAGTATAATTCTCGCGCGACCACTCTGCATGCGGTATATTCGGAACGACAGTCGCACGACACTGCAAGACAAACAAATGGGAGGTCTTACAATCGGTCGGACTCTTCTTCGCCTCCATTCCGGGTCGGTCTTCTCGCCTTCGCTTCGTTATCGCCGCTTCGTGGACACGCTCCGCAGCTAGGAGATCACCGTCAGTGGTCACTCACAGCCGAGATGTCTCGCGAGAAACACTCGTCCTCGAGATATTACGCCAATGCGACGGTCACACACGAAAGTCGGGTTCCCGCGCGGTATCTCCTGATTTCTGTCGATATAACGATATACAGCCTCGATAGTCGCGGTATCGCGGGAGTCGCACGTCGCCGCTAGCTAATCACGAGCAAAGATCTCTCGATCCCGCGTTTTTCTCTTCTCGGCGAGCTTTCCTCACTCTCTCTCTCTCTCTCTCTCTCTCTCTCTCTCTCTCTCTCTCTCTTCATCTCTCCCTTTCTCTCTAGCTTGTCTCGCCGGGATTTCCTTGTTTCCGTGGCACCTGCTTTGTTGTCGATCGTCGTCAGCTGTTGAGAGTCTCCTCGCGCCTTTCCGTCCCGCGTCTAGCAGCGTGCTGTAAACAAACATCGCCAGCGGCAGCCGAAATCGGAACGGTAACACGTTCTTATGTACGAGAGTTAAAGTGCTGTCATCCACGTACCATTTAAACGGCGACTTTCCTTGAGGCCGATGACGTTTCTTCTTTCATCCTCTTCCCTCGGTGTCCTGTGGTCTCTTCCACTTCGTGGTCGGCGAGGAGAGTTGGGGCACATTTTCTTAGGACGCGCTGACCATCCCACTTGCGGGACCGCATTCGCTTCGCTAATCAACCCCCCTTCTCCCCTACGCTCGACCGATCTGACCGTGGAAAGCTGTCGCTTTTAATCACAAAAAATATCCGGGAGCGCTATGCCCCCCCCCCCCTCCTTTCCGATATGCGCGAAATCGTACGAACGGAGCTCTCTCGCCCTTGTGACGGGCGCCCTTCGGCTGCCACGTCACTATATATATATATATATATATATATATATATATATATATATATATATATATATGTAATAGCGTTTGTTACGGCGCACACGTTGTACGCATGTACGAAGGGGAAAGTGGTACACTATTGTCAATCTCACACATTCTGTTACAGACAGGCTTTTCTTGTCTATGTTCGATCCATGTATTATAGGTCCATGACGTAACCTAACATATCTCATCGTGGCTATTCGAAATACTGAGAATTTAGTATTGTGCAGTGTGTCGCATTCGTCACATTTTGATAAGTACGATTCCACTATGTTTTTTAATGTAGAAACGCGTCTGAGAGTCAAAATATTTTTCATTATTTACTAAATAATTTTATTGTATAACTTTAGGTTATATTTGTTTGTAAGGCTCTATTTATGTAATTATTACTAATTATAGGAAATATGTATAACGCGCACAAAAGAAAACTTGTTTGCTAGCGACATAGTAGACGGATTATTGCTACTAATACACAAATAGATATCGCTGGCTGTTCAAAACCAATTGCAAATTGCTGTACTGCGAACATTTCTGATCATGTAGATATACATAATAAAAATGTTGAAAAGACTAACATTTGTAATGCACGTAGTACTAACATAATGCATATTAACAGTACAACTTTAGAGAATCATAATAAATGTCAAAATCGTAATATCCAAAGAAACAGTAATAATTGTAGTCAGTTCAACGATAATTTTATTATAAATGAAGAATGTGATGATGATGACAATGACGATCAGAATGCAAATCATAATGATTGTAATGATGAGAAAGAAATAAAAAATGCTATAGCTACATGGGTTATATCTTATAATATTCCACACAATGCATCTAATGCATTGTTAAAAATTTTGCGTAAATTTATATCGCATAACTTACCTGCAGATACACGAACATTGTTACAAACTCCAAGACAAACGAGTATATTAAAAATATGTGAGGGAGAATATTTTCACTTTGGTTTACAGAATATTATTAAACAAATGCTAGTGAGAAATAACGATACTTGTTTGAACGTAATAATCAGTATCGATGGCCTGCCTCTAGCGAAATCATCACAAGCATCCTTGTGGACTATTTTATGTTCAAATACAGTAAATAAGATAGTATACTTGGTTGGCGCATATTTTGGATATACAAAACCTAATAATTCTAATGATTTTCTACAACCTTTAGTCAACGAATTAATAGAGTTAATTAATAATAGTTATATTTATGGCGAAAATGTTATTAAAGTCACACTATTTGCTTTAATATGTGATGCGCCTGCAAAGTCGTTTGCATTGTGTATAAAAGGTCATACGGGATTTAATAGTTGCACTAAATGTTTAGTTAAGGACAAATATATGAAAGGCAGAATATGCTTCCCTTATAAAAAGCAATATTGTTTAAGAACAGATAAATTATTTTCAATTAATGTTTATAAAGATTTTCAAAATAATTTTTCTATTTTAAATAATGTTCCCATGTTTCTACCTTTATCTAATACTTCGTTGCATTATATGCACTTGATATGTTTAGGAGTTGTAAAAAAATTGATTGTACTATGGATAAAAGGTCCACTTTCTATACGTTTAAATGCACGATCTATTAATAAAATATCACATCTACCGATTTTACTTAGGAATACTACACCATGTGATTTTGCTAGAAGACCCAGATCAATAAAAGACTATAAGTTATGGAAAGTTACAGAATTCAGAAATTTTCTATTATATACAGGTCCTATTGTATTAAAACATATATTACCAGACAAACTATATATTCATTTCCTCACATTACATGTAGCTATAACAATTCTTACACGTCAACATTTATGTCAAGATGAACTAATAAATTTTGCTGAATCTTTACTTCATTATTTTGTTCAGTCATTTGAAATACTATATGGTACACAATATATATCACATAACATACACAATCTTTTACATATATGTTCTGACGTAAGAAAGTATGGTCCACTCAATAATTTTAGTGCATTTCGTTTTGAGAATTATATGACAGTTATAAAAAGGAGATTACGAAAAACTGAGAAACCATTGCAACAACTGATTAAAAGATATAATGAGATTGAGAATTGTAATTTAGAATGTGTAGAACAGGATACTAATAGTAAAATGTATTCATGTAAATATTTGCACAACAACGGTCCAGTACCTGATAATGTACATGTTGAATCACAGTATTTCATGGTATTATATGGAAAAGTTATTATTAATTTTAAAAGTTTATCTAATAATTGCTGTTTATTACGAGACGGTACATGCGTTCTGGTTATTAATATTATACAAAATCCAAATAAAGAAATTTTTCTCATTGGTAAAAAGTTAAAATATATAAAAGATATATTTACATCACCATGCCTATCCAGCGATTTAAATATTAAAGTGATAACAATAAATAATAATAACATATATTTCTGGCCAATTACAGATATTTTATGTAAAATATGGAGAATTCCTTATGGAAACAGTACAGACACGTTTGCAATTTTTCCCATTAACCATGACATGTAATTGTGCGCGTTATAATATACATATTTCTATAATAGAATATATTGCATATTTTCTTATGGCCTTGTCCAATATGCAATACAGAAGGATGGAGAACAACAAATATATTGTAGCAGAATTTAATGATGGCCTGCAGTTGATACCTATAATATGGTACAATGCAGATACGTCATCAAGTCTTTGGCCAAGTCATTTTAAAACAAAACTTCGTATCAATAAGACTATAATTACAAGAGAAATTCCAAAAGAAAAATCAGATTGGGAGAAGTTACTAATAAAAAGGGTGTTTGCCATTGCAAGTATATGAATAATGTAACACACAAGTTTGTAGTATATTAATAGATACTTTTGGAACTCTATTTTTATACTTTTATTTTGTTTTAGATACTTACGAAGAGGGCCTGGAAAAATTATGTTTAGCGGAAGAAACGTCAAATGTTGACAAAACAGGTATAACGTCAAACGAAGCACAAAAACGAGAAAAAAAGAGAAGACGTTTAAAAGCTACAAGACATTTCTCATCTTCTTCTTCTGAAGATGATTTAGTTTCGTGTAAAGAAAATAATTTTATACAAAACACACTGTCTACTCTTCTACAGAAACCAGATTTTACGTGGAATAGCAAAAAGCTATTGAGTACATCTACAGGACTTACAATAATCTTATTTTAAAATAATATAAAATATTAAAATGTTTTGTGAGAAATTATTTAAATCCCGTGTGAGGACACCTGTAACCCCCATCGGGCGCGTCCCCAGGTGGCGAATCGGGGAACACTCGTCACAGTGATGTAAAGAGTAAAAGGGAAATAAAATACCTCCCGTGGATCGACAGGATTGCACCCTTGTGCGTCTGGTGACATATAAGGAACTCCCAACCCAAGGTGTTAGGTTCCGTACCGAGGGATGAATGTCTATGGGAGATTAAACATAGCAGACTCAAACGGCCCTTCAGTGGATATAGTGTGCCCACTGTAGTACTACCCGGTAGCACTTTCCCTCCGAGAGCATTTGGGGCTCTGCCCGTGGTGACTGTCAGAACCACCACGCTTGTGGGATTCATATGGAAAAGTTAAACAATTCTAACCAAAATCTGGATAACGTTGACGACAGGCAAGAAACAAACGGATATGATTTGGCATTATTACAAAATAAAACAAAAACTGCCGCGAGTACCCCGAGTGGCTGTCCGGGAGGACTGCGAATTCCACCTTGTCCGGTAACTAATCCTGGAGATTCCGGAAGGGACCAACTATCATTTATAGATGATTCAAATAGAAGGAACTCGCTTGGCGAAGCTGAAAACTTCAGAAGGAAATGTCTATTCCTCACTGAAGAAAATAAAATATTGCAAAACAAAATTAAATTCTTTGAGACACGACTTGCTAAATATGGAGAATCACGAAAGATCATGTCATATGGATAAGGAAGAATTTATGAGAAAGAAAAAAATAAAACTCCCAAAGGACAGTATGATTGTGTGATCCAGTCAAGAAAGAGCAAGAAGAGGAAAGCTACCATCTCGCCCGAAGCTGAACCTAATATGTCAAGATCCAATCTCTCTTCTAAACAATTACTACAAACAAAAACTAACAAAAAACTTAATAAAAAATTTGCTCCACCTCCGATCTATATCAGCAGGCTAAATAATATAATATTAACATAGTGACCGATAGCCTGCGGAAACTTGAATTTAAAGGAAAAATAACTGCACTTCCACCTAGTGATACGAATATTAACTATCTTAATAGAGAAGAATATTGTAAAATTACTAGGCTGTTAAATGAAGTGAAAGAAGCCTGGCAACAGATGGAATGGCACACCTATGCTGATAAAAATACCCGTCCATTTAAAGTCATGGCAAGAGTTCTAGACTCTGCAACAGATTCCAGAACTATCATTGATGACCTGAAAGCAAAGGAATTTAAAATCCTATCAGCTGTTATTATCCTCCTATTTTATTATCAAATAAAAAAAGATTCTACTGATGAGTCGAAGAAGGTTAAGTCTCAAACCAAACTCAGACTTTTCATGCTTACCTTTGATAATTCAGAGAAAATAGATAGGATATATGACATAAAAAACATTGCTTACCAAGTTGTTAAAATAGAAGCTATCCGCAAAAATTCAACTCGCATCGTACAATCCAAAAACTGCCAAGAATACAATCATGTAAAAAGCAGTTGCCACCAAAGAGCTCGCTAGGTAAAACGTGCTGGTGAGCACTTCACAAAGATATGTAATAAACCCAAAGACTCAAAACCTAAATGTGCCAACTGTGGAGATGAACATACAGATAATTATAGAGGACGTATAATTGCTAAAGAGTTCCAAAAACGTAGGGATGAAAGCATTAATAACAAAAAAAAAGCAGGTATAACATTCACGCAAGCAGTTAAAAAACAGCAAGCCGAATTTAAGAAAGTGGTATCGGAAGAAGAAAAATCAATTCTAGAGACAACAAATGCCAATGTAACATACGCTGAAAGAGTGAAAAGTGACTCCGAGACCAATGAAGTAAATTCTAGAAAGGAATCTTATTGGAAAAGGAAAATTATTAGCGGTCTTAGACAATTATTAAGCGTCTGGATCAACAAGAAAATTTTAATAAAATGAAGTTTGACATAATAGATAGTCTACTAGCTAAACTCATACAGAGATAATGGCGGGATCAACTAGAATTGCCACTTGGAATGCAAATGGCTTACGTCAACATAAAGAACTTGAGATCTTTCTGGATGAGCAAAAAATTGATATATGCTTAATCTCTGAAACCCACTTTACGAAAGAAACATACTTTAATATATATGGGTATAAAACCTATCATATTGTTCAACAACGCTCGTGGTGGAGCGGCCGTCATAATTCGCACAAACATTAAACACTACGAAGAAATTAAAGCATCAACTGAATACATCCAAGCTGCTGCAGTTACTGCCCTACTGAAAAATTTCTATTGAGATCACAATTGAATTCCCAATTGAATTCTCAATTAAATTCTCAATTGAATTCTCAGTTGAGGTTTCCGCAAAATTTCGCATGTAAGATCTCAATTGAGATATTTGTATCTGATGGAAATAATTCATTGAAAATATAATGAACTTTTGCTGAAATATGTTTGAAAAGCATTCACAATTTTGACCCAATTTCATTAAAATTTCATTATAATTTCATTAATATTTCGATAATATTTTATTAAGAGAGTAGAAAAATTCAGTGAAAAATTATTATTAATTAAAATATTTAGAAAAGTATAATGAAGTATTATTTTGTCT